ATGATGATGGCTCGGTAGAGATGGTGAGAAAACGATTCTGGATATATTTCATAGATGTGCTAATAGTTTGGATGAAGAGTGTTAGAGAGGTCAGGAATAGTAGCTCCAACTCTGCCGTGAGCAACTGGCAGGATGTATTAGGCTGAACCAAATGAAGTGGCCAATATTTGACTGTCCTTAACTTTAAAAACAGCCGTTTTTAGGGGCGCCCAGGTGGTTCCGTGGTTTAGCACCGCTTTCGGCCTGGGGCATGATCCTGGAGACCCGGGACCGAGTCCCACGTCGTGCTCCCTGCATGGAGCCTGCTTCTCCCTCTGCCTCTCTCTCTCTCTGTGTCTCATGAACAAATAAATAAATCTTAAAAAAATAAAAACAGAAGTTTCTTATATTTCAACATCATAGCTGCCATTTACTGCCTGGGGAAAACTATAGGAGAAAGAGGTGGGGATGGTGCCAGAAGTGTATTTTGGGACATGAGGAGACATCAAAGAGGCAACATACAGTCTGTATCTGGGCAAGGCTGCAACCAGAAATCTGCATTGGGGAGTCAGAGTACTCCTGGCAATTGAAGTGGAGACTGGATGAAGTCATCCAGGGATGAAATGTAGCTAAAGAAGAACAGAGACCCGAGGGCTGAGTCTGGAGCCTCCAGCATTTCCAGATCAGGGAGGGAAGGAAGCAGCAAAAGCACAGGAGGCTACAACTGGCAGCTGGCCCAGGTGAGCTCACTCCAGATGGACGAGTAAATAATTTCCAATCTTTCTCCCTCCTTGAGCCTGGGCATCAGGGTGTGTGTGTGTTGGTGTGTGTGTATGGGGTGTGGGTGGGGACAGGGTTGGTGATATGCAGCATCTATTCTATTTGATCTAGGCAAGGGTAGTGCTGGTACTATCACCCCATTTTACAGAGGAGTAAACTGAAGCAGAAAGGTTAGGTTACTTGCCCAGATGATATCAGTAATAGGCAGCAGACCTGGGGTTGGAAGGGGTTGTCTGTCTCTAAGTTCCATGTTCTCTCTGAATCACGCCACTTTAGGGGGATTGCTGTTTGTCCAAGGAGCCTGTTGCCACAGGTAGCAAGTAAAACAATGCATGGTGATGATAGCGCAGGAGAGGAAATCTTCCTATCCTCGCTAGTCTGACCTGCGTGTTCCTGAGCTCCCCCTGACTGCGTCTGTGGGGACACATTGTAACAGGGTTACGTGGAGATGGCTTGGAATGACTGCATTTCTAAGTAATCTCTACACCCAGTATGGGGCTTGAACCCACGATCCTGAGATTAAGAGAATAAGCCAGCCAGGCCCCTCCTGAAGTGATTTTTAAGCTTTTATTTCCACAGCAGCAAGGACACTGCTGATATTTTGCCTCCTAGAGGGGTCTGGATCTGTGATCTCAGACGCCGAGAGTGCCAGCTCAAAACGCACCTATTTCCCTATAGAAATGGTCAAATGGAATCAGGAAGCCTTATCTGAGGGATTTTCATTTCTGGTGGGGACGGTGATAAATTCACTTTGACTTTAGAGCTCTTGTGTTAACAGGTAACTTCAGAGAGAGAGAGAGTAGTTTTTGGGCTTTCTGGGCCAGGGCATTCCACTCACTCCATCAAATAATGTCTTGCTCCAAGCATTATATTCTCTCCAAACTTGTTTGCTTTGAGCTCCTGAGATCGGAGGCTCCATTGGTCAAGCTTGGCCCTGCCCTGGGGAGAGATAAACAGGCCCAAATACACTTCCCAGATTGCAACAGTAGTGAGTCAGGGTGGACAGCTGTTCCCTCACTGCACCCTGGTTGTACCTGATAAGGAAAAACACGACTCATTCCAGCACATTGCCATCTGTGTGCACACATATAAACAGACATTCCCAGGCCCAAGTGTTGTCTTAAATTATTGACATTCTGAATGGCCAAAACACTGGATAAAAAGGCAAGTGCAAACAACAATAAAAGGTGAGCACAAACTTACTTTGTTCAAGAGGAGCTCCAGGTTCTCGAAGCCAAAAATAAGTCCAACAAAGTCTGCCATTTGGCACCATTTTAGAGCCACCCTTTTGAACCTACCTGGTCAAGGGCAGGTTTAGGAGTCCTCCAAATCTCTGGAAAGATGAGGGGAAGGTTGTCATGGAGGAAAGAGGATGAAGTCAGAATAGAGGAAATGGGTTTATGAAGGAGCAAATGGCAAAATGCCCAGAGACAAAAGGTATGTCATTAAAAGGTGAGAACATACTTTACCACAAAGAGAAATAATTGACACTTGACATCTTTAAAAAACAAAACAAAACAAAACAAAAAACCACAAAGAAACCACCTGAATGCATTTCTCCTTGAATGACAGAGAATGCATAAGGAGTGTGGCAAGTGGAGATTAATAATACAATAATACCACCACCAATAATATATTGCATCTTATAATCAACACTTCGTGTTTCCTTTATGAAAAGTAATTTATAGTTTACAAGGGGCTTTCACATTCGTCCTTTCCATTTATCCCGTCAACCCACTCAAGTGGGTAGGACATTATGGACCACATTTTACAGATGAGAACACCGAGGCTCCAGGAGGATATATGCAATTAACTGAGGCATAATTAAGGGCTGGAGAAGGGCAGATTTGTCCTGAGTAACCCAGAGCTAAGATACTTACTCTACAATAACTCTTCTCTAGGCAATTGCTTTTCAGTAACTTCTCAGAGGGCTTAATCTCCATTGCATTTCTAGGTAGAGCAGCCCCACCTTCTCCAGTCTTATCTGGAACAAGTTTCTCTAAACACCTCTCTGATTAAATTTTTGTTGAACTCTTAGATCACAGCAGCATAGCATCTGTAAAAATTAAAGCCCAACAGGGCTAATTTCTAGATCCACCCCATGCCCTTCTTTCTCAAGAGTCCCATCCTTGACCTGTTCTCTCTGCTCTGGAAACAATAACTTTGGGTCCCCTGAGCCTGCCACCTCATTCTCAGGTGGGGAGGAAGCGTCCTTATTTGCATGGGATATTATAGAAGCATGGGACTCACTGGAGGGGTTAGGCAAGTGTTTTGATAGCACTGATGGAATCTTCAAACAGTGGTTCTCAAACTTTGGCCTGCATCAGAATCATCTGGGGAACTTGTTAAAGACACGGAGGTCCAAGCCTCACCCCGGACCTTCTGAATCAAAATCCCCAGTGGTGGGGCCTGGACATTTGAGAGCTTAACGAGCTCCCCAGGTGATTCTGAAATACACCAAAGGTTGACAACCACTCTCAGCAGAGGAGTGGGGGCTACTCAGGTGAAGGAGAGGGAGGAGCAATGTTGGGAGGGGAGGTAGTAGCAACAGGAGCCTGGAGAGCCTAGAGGAGACAGTCGGGAACAATTTTCTGCTCCATCTTTATTTCCCTTTAACAAACTGGTCACATAAAGGAGGTCAGAAATCTCAGACAGGTCCTCCTTCTGATGGAATTGCTATGTGCAGTAGGAAAGACCAACGTACCCCTTTTAGAAGCAGTTAAAATAGCCTTTTTCAGAAAGTGAAGTAGAGGTTATCAGAGACTTGGTGGGATGGGGGTGGAGGCAGGGAGCAGAGAATGAGGAATTCTTGTCTAATGGTATGGCGTTTCTGCTTGGGATGATGAAGTTCTGGAAATGGAGAGTAGTGATGGTTGTAGAACATTGGTGAATGTATTTAAAACACTGAATTGTGCACCTTAAAATGGCTGAAATGGCAAAATTTATGTTATGTATATTAATCACATACACAAATTACTAGTCCTTTGGAAGAATGGGATGATAGGAATGAAGAATGCTCAACATTAGTTGATTGCTGCTGCCCTAGGTGTGTGTGTGCGTGTATGTTTGTGTCTATGGGAGGTTGTAGAAGGGGACCCATCTCATAGCACGTGGTTTGACAAAGTACAAGTATATTCATAGGAACAAGGGAATAGATAAAAATTTTGAAAATAGAGTCAATGGCAGCAAAAAATGTGATATAAACCTCAGGAGATGCCTAGATCACTCTCTCCTGCCCCTTTTGCCTTGTTGACTCGTGGGTCCCATACCACTTCTTATGGAGTGCTTTGTAGAGCAGTGACTCTCAAACTTCACTGCACATAGGAACCACCTGGGGACCTTGTTAAACTGCAAATTCTAATGCAGTAGGTCTGAGGTGAAGCTCTAGCCTGCATTTCTAACAAGTTCCCAGGTGAGGCTGATGCTCTAGATCTGCAGACCATATTGGGAAGGCTGTGTAAATTTAAAGTCTTTCTTAGTTCACCATGATATCCTCATGCCCAGTGGAGTGATTCACACAGTAGGTGCTCAATAAGTATTTATGAACGAATGATGGAATATACAGGGTTGGTACAGGAGTGTGGAAGGCAGAACAATCTTTGTCCTTCGGAGTACAGCATACTTGGGGCGTTTCTGCTTCTACCAGTCATTCACTTTGTGAAATTACCTCATACTCTGTGGGGTAAGGATGCTAGTACCAAATTATTTCCGGTCTTGCCAACTAGCTGCCTCAAGGTTAATCCTTGAAATAGTGGCCCTCTCTACAAGGAGGGTAATGAACCCTGGTTTGCAAGTTCTGAGGAAGCCTCGCTGTAGTCTACAATCGCTGCAAACAGATTCCTTCCATCCAAGGAGGGAGCAGGGTGCAGGGAACCTGCTAGTGTGGGAATTTCCAGATTTTGGTGACTATCCTAGTAATTGCCACCTTAAATCAAATAAACAGCCTTTCTAACAGTGTATATGAGAAGGAGGTTCATTACCCTAAAACACACAAATGTAATAATATTGCCATTCTTTACTATTATCATTTATGATGATGATAACGACACTGGCAGTTGAGCGATTAAATGTGGGGGTGGGGGGAGTTGGGGGAGGGGGCACGGGGCTGGGAGGGCAAGAGAAAGCAGAACTACATCTCCCAGAACCACCCGGGAGAGTCCACGCCGCGGCGCCGGCGCCCCACCCCTTTCGCCAGCTGGGCCCGCCCCGCCGATGACGTCACAGAGGTGACGTCACGGCGCCCAGAGCGAGGCTGGGGTAGAGAGGCCGACTGAGCAGGAGTCGTCCGCTTGTCGTGGAGGCGGCTAGGGAGCCGGCGAGAGGCTGAGCGGGCGAGCAGGCGAGCGAGCTAGAGCAGGCAGGAGGGAGCGACGCGCGGCGCAGAGTAGCGCCGGGGCCGGGCCGCGGAGGAACCCACAGCCGGAGAGGGGCAGCCCGAGCCGGGCGCCGCGGGGTCCCCACCCCCACTCGGCCGGACAGTGCCCGGTGTTCCCCCGTGCGGGGGGCGGCGGCGGCGGCGGCGGCTGACGGGACCGGACAGGACCGCGGGGGTGTTGCCACCTCCACCGAGGAGCCGGCGCGGCCGCGGGCTCCTCAGAGCCGGGGCCCGGGGCCCGTGATAGACGGGCCGAGGAAAGGAGAGAGGCGGCGGCGGCGCAGGCGACGGGGAGGCAGCGGCGACACCATGTCATCCCCCAGTCCGGGCAAGAGGCGGATGGACACGGACGTGGTCAAGCTGTATCCTTCGTGGAGGGGGGATTCGGGCTGTCCGGGGGGGCGGTGTGGGGATGCTCCGCGCACCCCCTGAAACCCAAGCAGGGGCCTTGGGGCACTCCAGGCCACTGTCCGAGGCTCCCTTCCTCTCCTCCCCCCCCACCCCCCGTGCCTACGGCGGCTCCTTGGCACCTCCCAGGAGCCAGGAGCCTTTTCAGCTCCCCCTTTATCTGCAGCACCCCGAAATGTGCGTTGTTCCTCGCTCTTCTGCACCCCCATTGCCCGTGACTTTCCTTTCCTCCACATTTGGGTTCCCGAGACGGCATTTTTTTTTTTTTTTTTTTTTTTTTTTTTTGCAGGACCATCCACCTCTCTCGACCACCGTGCCCACCTCGGGGTCTCTCCTGTTTGCTCGCTCTGGATTTAGGGACTCGTGATAGAAATTCCCGAGAGTGAAGCCTTTCTTCCTTTCTTGAGATGCCTCTGTTCCCTCCTATGCTTCTTGAACTGGGGTAACTCAAGTGACCTCCTTTATCCCTAATTCCTTTCTATATTAGGAAGAGTAGTCTGCTCAGTGCCCCCTCTTGTAATAAAGAGCTGAGTGTTTTAAATCAGGGACCCCGGTTAAGCTTTCTGGTCCCTCGAAGAACCTCACCGCTTTTCCTTTCACTGACAAAGCCTGTCCCACCCATAGTTGGATGTGATGAGGACCCCCAGGCCCTCCAGCAAGCCACCCTCCATATTGTGGTTATGACAGCTGGGGGAGGGTGAGAAAGAGGATCTCCTTGACAAAATAGCCCCTGTATTAGCCACTCGAGCAAACTCCCTCTATGAGGGTAAGGTTCTTGTGGAAAAACTGCCCTGATTTTACCAAGTGACACCCTTTATTTTCCTCCCTCCCCCCAACTTTATGTACTCTGGACGTAGCAGTGGGAAAGCTGTAACTGATAAGGGCCCTTCAGGCAGTGGTTTTGGTTGGAGTCCAGACTGATTATTTCATGACCAGCTAGAGAAATTCGCGAGGGTTCCTGTGACAAATCGAGACAATTTTTGAGGGGTAATTTAGAGGGTTGGGGGGGGGGTGAGGAGAGAGAGAGAGGAAATGAGCCCAGTGTTCTGAACAGCTAATCCCTGGGGAGATGGGGAACCGGGGATGGGGAGTGGTGGTGTGTGAAACGCAGTTAAAAAGTCCTGTCTCCTGCTTCTCTTTCTCCCTCACCCCCATCCCCCCACCATTTCCCCCGTTGCAGGGTTTTGTTTATATAACTCAAGTTGTTTGGCTAGATTCTTCAGGTGAATTCCTTCTTTCTTCCTTTTCTTACTGTCTTTGATTGGACGTTTTCCCTCTTTTCAGAGATTGATGATTATTGTCAACTCAGTTATGGAATTCTCTGAAGTTTTAAAAAAGTAGTTTTTGTATTTGGATTGGAAGTGGGGGATGGGAGGGAAGTTGCCTGGGCAAGAAAAAAAATTTTTTTTTCATCTTTTCAGGAATAAGGTGTTTTTCTCTTCACTCAGGAAAACTTAGCTAGAAATTAGGAACATTAGATAGACTTCTAAGTTTTAGGGTTTGAAGTTTACAATTTTGGGGAGATGGGAGAGGAGATTACAGAGAGGAGCAAATAATATGTGTTCCAAATATGTGTCTAGGCACAAGTGAAATTGACTCTTTACGAGCTGTTTGTGACTGTGATTGAGTTTTGTAAATGTGTGAATGATCCCAGTAACGCTGGCTTTTCATATGGTTGCAGGAAAACTTGTAACTGTGGCTGTGTGTGCATTTTACACAAAGCAGTTTTGGGTTTTATTTTTGTTTAGAAACTAGGAAATGACATGGTGGCAGAACCTGAGTTATTTTTATCCTGAATTGAGAGTTACTGTCACACCTAATGCAAATTTCTACCTAATGTTTAATTGGGATGGAGGTGGAGAGAGAATTCCAGCTGTTTTTGATCAATGTCAGAGTCTCAAATTATATTTATTTATTTATTTATTTATTTATTTATTTATTTATTTATTTATTTATTTATTTATTTATTTATTTTTTTAAGATTGAGGATAAAGGGTGAGGCCTAACTTGACCTGATGCCTTTTCCATACAGTGCCTTTTGTTCATTTATTAGTTGTGGCAACTAGAATGATTACCGCATTTAGGAGTGGGGTGTGGGGGGTGGAGAGGGAGAGGAAAACAGACAAAGAACAGCAGGGTGTCTTTCTCTTTTTTCTTCCCCTAAGTGGCTTATTTCATAGCTTATTTTTAGTAGAAGATGAAGAAAGGCAAAGATGCATTGGCCTTCTGTTCTTTCCCCACCTTCCTCCTTTCTGACAAAAGAAAGCAGAGGCGCTTTAAAATCATAGATCTCTGAGATAGGAGGAAAACAGACTCGGGACTTAAAAGCCAGAGGTTATCTTTGTTTCGTATTTGTTATTTTCTGGTCTAGCATAGTTTGGAAGTTAAAATTTTTGCATTTCCTTTTGTGTGTGCATGTGTGTTCTGGGGATGAGAGATTTTGTGGCCTCTTTTCTCTGTTGAATTAATGTTAGTAGGCCCAAATGGAGCCAATAATTTTTGAGCAGGGTATATTTAGCAGAAGATTTAAGGAAAATTTTTCCAGCCCATTATTAAAATTAGTACAATTATGTGAAAGGGCCGGGGGTTGAAAATGAAAGATGGTAGAGAGGAAGTAGAGATGGTCTGAAGGAATGTACTTGCTTTTTGCCCCCTCAGTGCCCCTTGATGATTTCTTTGGTTTGGAGGCCGATAGCTGGTTTCATTGCGATCTCCTGTTTCAGCCCATTTTTGGATGTCTCCTGAGTGTAATTATGCCACCACGATTTATAGCTTGGCAGGGAACCTATATAGTAGGAAAGTAGCAGTGTGGGGGTAGGGAGAGAAGGGGATGGGATGTGTAACTAATTGGCCACTGCTTTCCACCAGCTCTCTAGGTTCTTTCAGAGACACTGTCTCTGGTTGTTGTTTGGAGTCGGTGATATTTCTTTTGTGATGGGTTGGTAGGAGGAGAGCTGACTCTCAAGTTATGCAGGGAGTGAGTGTTTTGCACCGATGCACTTAATAATCTGCTGGGCGATTATGTTCTGAAACTCTGACTCATTCATTGTTTCTGTTCTGATCCTTTGCTGAGGGTTGTGCAAACCTCTCAGGAGCCTAGAGACTGATGTACTGACTTTTGGGCCCTGTAAGAATGTGTCCTAGTCAAAAAAACTTAACAGCCCAAATCCTGTGGAATGGTCGTGAATAGTGTGGCCATTTGTTTGCAAAGTCAGGTAGATAGGTCATATACTGTGCTGTTCCCAGGCTGGCAAGCGTTGAGGTTTCCATCTCTGATTATTTAGATTGTCTGAGAACTGGGACTCTGGTGACCTTAAAGCGTGATTTGCCCTAAAGGAATATCGGTTTAAGTTCTCCCTGGTGGAGGAACAAACAGCTCAGATTACACGGGTTTCCTTGTTGGTGGGGGTTACTCGTCTCACCCTGTTGCACAGCCTGGTGATCCTTTTATCTGTGAACCAGTGGCCCCTGCTGAAGGCTGGAGCTGCTTGTTTTGGAAAAGCGTATGCAGGCAAAAGGCCTCAGGCACAGCTCCTCACAGCTCATTGGCTGCTCTGTTACTACCCGGAAAAGGAGGAGGGGTGGAGCTACCAAACAGCTGATGGAGTGTGTGACCAGAGTGTGTTTATATACAAAAGAAGTAGGGGCTGGGGAGGCCTTGTGAGTAGTGTTACAGGATCAAGTGTATTATCAAGGGGTAAAAAGACCAAAACATGATCTTTTAGGCTACAAGAAATAAATATTCAAAGTTAAATCAGAAAAATGAACCTGATAATAATGGAGACTTGGCATACACTGTATTTGTTATTGGTGAGATTTTGGAATTTACTTTATAATACTAAGTTTTCAAAGATTCCCTTTTTCAAAGGGAGTTGCTGTAACTTAAAATAGGATATGCTGCCACTTTAAATGTACTTATGTGACTCACGCAGGGATTCAAAAGTATGGTAGAAATGTCAGTTTTCCCTGCAAAAGCTTGAAGAATGCTAGAAAGGGGCAGTGACTTTTACTAAAGTCATTAACAGCATTAGTGAAATCCTACAGAATCCGGGTGTCTGCTTTAGAGTTGCAGAAGCTTTCGATAACAAGTTCATCCCCCTAAACATTTGAGCACCCTCTTTATGCCAGGCTTGGTGCTAGGTGCTGGGGGTTTAGTAGTGAAAAATCCAGTGTGGGTGGTCATGATGCTTATGTAACCGGTTAAACAATTAAAAAAAAAATCAAAGTGGAAGCTGTTTATAGTAGGTCAACACTTTATGTATCAGCATTTTGAATAACTTGTATTTACTTTTAGAATTGACTTTTCAAGGAGTAGAAAGGTTAAAATGAATTTTATGCTGTGGGATGTATGAGGATCTGTATTTCTGGTATTTTAAAGATGTTAAAAATGGAAACAAAAACATTAAAATGCTTAGCTGTTTGTCTTTCACCATCAACTTTGGTATTTTGTTGTTAATCAGTAGTTATTCTATCCCTAAAACAGTAGTCTTTGTTACTCTTTAATTTGTGCTCAAAGTGTAGGCAATTCTGTAATCTTTTAACTAGCTCCAGTATCAGTTGAGAGAACCTCTGTTTTGCCTTTATTTCCTGTGGCCTCTGTTTTTGTGAGATGAAGAGGTGGAAGGTGGAACACTTTAATGGTCTTCAAGCTAGAAGTTGAAGCTTTGGCAACTTCCAGTGTTCTGAATTTGTCTTCTCTGCCTAGATTTTGGTGACAAATATAACACGCTGGTACTTATTTTTGTTAAGCAGGAACCTACATGAGTAAGCATTCACAGCTTCAGAACATCGGAGTCCTGCAGTGCAGTTCTAGTAAATTACACACAAACCTAAAAATTCCTCTTTTAGGAGAAAAAAATCTTTTGCAAATGTGAGCCATAAAAGTCCCTTAACCCTGTTTGTGTGCATGTGTTAAAAAGAACCTGGATTTGTTAGTTTCCCAGTGCTGTACAAT